ACCACACACGGATATCGACTATGCCATTTCGGGACGAAGCATGTTTCAATCAATCATGCGCCTGGGCCAAATTAGTTGTTATCGAGCCGGAGATACCATCAGAACTTGTGATTCTCATATCCAGAGATTTGAAACTGTTTCAATATAGTCTTACTTTATCTACAACCCTGAGCCTTTTAGACACTCACGTTGCTCAAGGAATGGACTCCACAACGTCTAGATATGGTGAAAACAGGTTTGCTGAAGGCAGTTATCTACGTAGAGTAAGATCATGCCACTGACAACAAACAACCTGAAATCCGCGCCGGCGCGTCAGACTGATCGAAGGCCCGCCCCACGCCTGCATCCCCCAAGGTGTGGCTCCACACACACCCCCCGGCGCAATATTGCCTCCCAGTGCCAAGCCTGCTGCCGACCGTACCTCCGGAAAAAAACCGTTTGTGCGCGGAGGCAGAGCATGTGCGTCCGTGCTGCCCCTTTTGTGTTGGCAACTATCACCCTCAACCCTGTTGGGTCAGCAACCCTGGAACCCGTCATTTCCGCCGCGACGCACGTGGCAGAACCCTTCCGTCTTGGCTCACCAGGCCACGAAGTCATCGCATATAGCTGCTCGCGTAGTGGCAAAAGATACAATAGCCTTGTTGTGGTCCAATCTAACGGACTCGCACAGCTCGCTTCGAACTCCCTTCCTACAAACTCTTCAGAGGTGTGCCTGGATGTCTGATACAATCGACTACCCGCCTCCCACATCGGTCGACATTCCTTGACCCAACCGACCAGCGTCCCCGAACCGCGACGCCCTTTTCCCACTGCCAACCGGCGCACGTTTCCACTACCGCTAGTTCATTGCCGAGGTGGCCGCTGGCCCGCGGCCCCAAGTCCTGTCCCTCGGCAATCGCGAAGGGCGAGCACGTCGCATCTGGCGACCCCCATCCCCCCGAGTGGGTGCTCGCCCAGTTCACACCATGCCCAGGTCGGCGCTTTGCTGTTCACCGGCCGTCAACCACGTGCCTATCCCCCGGGCCCTCATGACGCCTACGTCCTCCAACAGGCGCGATTGGCGCCCTTCATCCTACGTTCCGTGTTCCCTCCTCCTACTACGCGGCCATGGTCAACTAACTCGTCCCAGATCTGGCCGATAACCGCGCGCCCACACATCAACTCCTCCCTCTTCCCTCACCATTCTCCACGCTATCTTCATAAATCCTCCCCACGATGATCCTTCGGCTGCCCACCCTCTGGCAATGTGGCCTGGACGATCTGCTCGAACCGCGCCGGCCAGGCCGGCGACGCGGACCTCCCGCCCGCCAGTCCCAGTGCGAACCCCTACGACGTCATCAACATCCAGTACAACCTCCCGGCAACCACCCCAACCCAAGGCGCGATGCCCACCACACAACCGGTCGCCAACGCCCCTCCACGTCTGCTACTCCACTGGAGATTGACTAGCGCGAACCGCCCTCTGCTCCCGGTTGCCCTTCTAATCCTGCTTCGGAAGCGTCATGGGCAGACCTCAACTCCGTCGTGCACGGCCCAACCCATGGTCATCCCCGCCGAGCACTCCCACCCCCTCCAGACCCTTCGAGCCATAAAATCCAACGAGCGCTGCACCGCGCCGTCCAGGCGTCCCCACCATTCATCGCCCACTCAGCCATCCCGACTTCGGTTCGACCGAAATTCGACCTGCACCCTGCCACCGAATCATGTCCGGCTCCCCCTGCCCCCATCGAGGTCATCGCGAGTCATCGACCCGCAATAGGCGCCCACCGCATCACCACGCCTACGGCCCATACCGAAGCCTCCCCGGTCATCACCCATACCCCTCGCCGACGACAGCCAATCGAGCGCCGCGTCTCCAAACCGTGGCAATGTCCTGCCCAGTGAGGGTCCGCCTCGTCTACCCCGACAGCAATCGAGCTTGTGGAGAAATCGTCCATCAGTCGAGCTCCATACTCCGGCACAGGCATGTGATGAAGGGCTACTTACTTCAACATTCCCAGCTATACCGCGGACTGCCATCGACCCGCCGGCTGCTGCACACTCGGCGACCTCGCCACCGGTACGATGAGGAAGGCTATTACAAAATCACCCCCGCATCCCTCAAGGACCTGACATCTCATCCGTGGCGGTGAGAACTTCTACCCCCGCGAGATCGAGGATTCCTGTACACCCCACCCGGAGAATCGCCGATGATGCAGGTTATGCGGCCGTGCCGAACCCAGCGGTTCGGCGAGAAGTCCTGGCCTTGGTCCCCCTCAAGCACGATGCCGGACGTCACGGAAAGAATCCATCCGCGACTTCTGCCGTGGCAAAACACAAAAAAAGCAAGGTGAATCGCGCACTAAAAGGTCCACCCCGCTACGTCAAACTCTCCGACGAGTTCCCCATGACCGTAACCGGGCAGGTCCAGAAGTTCCGCAGGCGCGAAATGGCGGGGTAAGAGCTGGGGCCTACAGCCGCCGCCAACGTGGCAAACCCCAGCCTAAATCCTGCTGCTCGCGCTGCCAAGGCTTCAGGGCCCCCAGCACCTCGAGTGCCACGGCCGATTCCCTTCGACCCCTCCCATATCGTCAATAACGACCCCGTGGTGGCTGCGTTCCCTAGCGTGTACCTGGGGTGGGGGGGGCTGGGGGGACTAGTCGAGGCCGCGTTAGCCCCCGGGGATGTCGATCTTGATCACGTCGCCCCTTCGTCCTATGTCCATTGCCCGTTCCATAGCAACGACGCCGTGCTACAGTCGCAGCCGCCATGGGATCGGAGATCACGCGGCGGCTTTTCACGCGAAACCTGTTTCGGAGGTCTCACTGCATGGACATATACCACCGCTCCTCTGCGCCGTTGGCGTCCTTCCTGTTGCCACTGCCGGGATTCCGCCCCACCAGCCGCTCTGGCGCCTGCAGTGCCGCCCACTGCCCACGCCGTTCCTGCTTTCCCGGTCCCGCTGTCTCCTGGGTTATAAGCTCACGACCTTGTCCGGTCACCGGCTATCACTCGGCAATTGGTATCACGGTACGGGCCTAGTCTGGTCCGATCCTCATGCGGTCCCCTTTGACGGACCCGCCCGATCTTGGTGGTCTTCGATTCTCCAGTCGGACGAGCGGGAGCTCGACGCAGAATGGTCCATTGGGGCCGGCCGGTTCCCTAGCCGACAAAGTCCGTACGATCGATCGGGTAGACCTACAAGGTCGATGATCATCCGCCGCAGACCCGCTCCCGGCAACGAGTCGGCCAACAACGAGGCGGGTTAGAATAACGTGCCGTCCTTTCGCCCACGACTTGCTCGATTCCAATAACGGGGTCAGCCGCGTCCGCAACTACGACTGTCCGAATGACCGAAAAATTCGAGATAGCCGGCTGCAGGATCAGCGAGAAGAAACCTGCCCTGCTGTTTAAAAACCCTTTTTGATTATCGCGGCATTTTTTCATGACCGTCTCCTTAGAGGCTTGGCCGATTGCGTTAACGACAATGATGACCAGGATGATCCAGACGATGACCCTCCACACGGCCCACCAGGGAGTGCTGCCTTAGTTCACCGTCTGAGGTTTCTCATCATCTCCGGCTGAGAATCTGTGGTGTGACCGCTGACGACCACTCTCCTTCCTGTTCTTGCTCCGGTGGCTGCCTCGAACTCTGGCAGGTGGCGACCCGCAGTAGGCCACACACCGTCGATAGCCGTGTTGCGACATTGGGTTCCGCGCGCGGGGAGCTCTGAGCACTGCCCTCTCTCTCGGCCCATTCGGCAGCCTGTTGTGGGAGGGCGTCGGGACCGATGAAGTCGATTACTTGTCGAATATGGCTGCAGAGCCGTTTAATAAACACCAGCCGCTGCGCCCCGCACTCGTAGACGCCGTTCCGTCCGCTGTGAGGTCCGATTGCCACCGCAGTAGCGGAGCCCCTCCTCGGATCCTCTCCGGACTCTGTACTCCTCGTCCGTAATGCTGATCAAAACCTTCGGCTTGTTCATTATACGAGGTGACGACCCGACGCCGATCAAGGCATTGCGAAGCTCGAGAAACTCTTGGCGTCTGAAATCTCAGCGCGTCCTGGTCTTCCCAGTCCCAACCAATTCTCATGTTCTGTTGCTGGCGATGGCGTGCGCTTCGCAACTTCGTCGCCATGATATACGGGGAATTTCGCATTGGCTGTTTGAAATGGTGCGGCGACGCAATCCGAGGATCGCGTGAAATCATCCTCCATACAGGTCTAACCTCCTTGAAAGTTTTGGCCTGATAGCCTCCGGATCATTCCCTCTCCCGGCGGCGGCAGTTAACGGCCCCTGCCTGAAAGTCAACACTCTTAGCCACGCGTCCCCTGCGTCCATTCCCTGCCCGAAAAGCCCATGATAGATACCTTGGGGCCTTTTCCCGGGCTTCTCCAACCACGGCTCTGACGCAATGCGTTCCCACCGGAAAAGGGATGGTTCGCCGGCCAAGAACGTTTATAATATTGGTCGGCAAAAATTAGGAGAAAAACGTATTGTTATGAAGGTAAAAGCTGCTGTTTTGTGGGAAGTTGGCCAGCCGATGGAGATTCGGGAGGTTGACCTGGATGAACCCAAGACCGGCGAAGTGCTGGTTAAGATCGGCTCCGCCGGTATCTGCCGTAGCGACCGACACTTTATGCACGGCGACGCACCAATCGCCATACCCGTAGTGCTGGGACACGAGGGCGCCGGCACCGTCGTCCAGACCGGCCCCGGCGTAACGCTGGCTCAGGAAGGCGACCAGGTGATACTGTCCTTCGTGCCCGCCTGCGGACGCTGCCGCTCTTGCCTCGAAGGCCACAGCAACCTTTGCGACCTCCATGGCGCCACCGGCGCCAACATGCTCGACGGCACGACCCGACTCCACGCCGACGGCAAGGACATTCACCACATGGGCAAGGTGGCCTGCTTTGCCGAGTACGCTGTCATCCCCGAAACCGGCGTCGTGCCCGTAACCAGCGGCCTGCCCATGGACAAGGCCGCCATGATTGGCTGCTCGGTTACCACCGGCGTCGGCGCCGCCCTGTATAGCGCGGAAATCAAGGCCGGCAGCACTGTCGCCGTCATCGGCTGCGGTGGCGTGGGTCTCAACGTCATCATGGGCGCCGCACTGGCCAACGCCGGCAAGATTATCGCGGTGGACATCCGCGAAGCCCAGCTGGAGTTCGCCATGCGCTTCGGTGCAACCCACACCGTCAACGCTGCCGATCAGGATCCGGTGCGGCAGGTCAGAGACCTAACCGACGGCCGCGGCGCTGACTATACTTTCGAGGTCTTCGGCAGCGCCGACACCACCAAAGCCGCCTACGAAATGGCCGGCAAGCGCGGCATCGTAACCGTCGTCGGCATCGCTCCCTGGGGACAGGAAGCCTCCATCAACGCTGTCGACCTCGTGCGCAACGAGAAGACCCTGCGCGGCTCCTACTACGGGTCCGCCCGCTCCCGCACCGACATGCCCGTGATGGTCGACCTCTACCAGTCAGGCAAGCTCAATCTGGACGACCTGGTGGTCCGACACTACACCCTCGACCAGGTCAACGAAGCCTACGCAGACCTGGACCGGGGAGAAATCGGCCGCGGCGCCATAATGTTCGACTAGGAGCGCGTCCTTCTAGTCAACTGTCACCACAGCGACCAACGGAACCCAGACGGCGTTGATCGCTGGGCGAGCTTTTGCTGAAGATCCCACCCTAACCCTCTCCCATCGAGGGAGAGGGGATTCAACCGCACCGCTCGAAATGGCCCCTCTCCCCGGGGGAGAGGGGTTGGGGTGAGGGCCGTACTACTACGAACGACCGAATCAGGAGTCATCCAAAATGCCACGCCTGGAAATACTGTCCGAAGTGCAACGCCGCATGCTGGAGTTCTTCCCCTGCATGGAATCCGACGATGTGCCCTGGGCACCGCTGGCCAAAGACCTGTCGGACAGCACGGTCGCCATCGTCACCACCGCCGGGCTGCACCTGCGCGACGACCAGCCCTTCAACCGCGACCATCCGGGTGGCGAGTCCACCTACCGCATCATCCCAAGCAATTCCGACACCGCCGATATTGTCCAGAGCCACTTCAGCATCGGCTTCGACCGCACCGCCATCTATCGGGACATCAACATCACCTTCCCCATCGACCGGATGCGCGAGCTGGCCGAGCAGGGCAAGATCGGCAAGGTTGCGCCCAACCACTACTCCTTCATGGGAGCCCTGCGCGACTGTACCATCGTCGCCGAGCAGACCGGCCCCGAGGTCGCCCAGCGTCTCAAAGACGAGGGCGTCAACCTGGTGTTCCTGACCCCCACTTGACCCCTCTGCACCCACGCCGTGAGCGTGCTAGCCAGGGTGTTCGAGGCCGCCGGCCTGACCACCGTCGCGGTGGCGCTGGTTCGGGAACACGCCGAACGAACTCGACCCCCCAGGGCATTGTGGGTGCCGTTCTACTTCGGTTACGCCATGGGCCGGCCTGACGACCCGCCTTTCCAGCAAAAGGTCCTGGCCGCAGCGCTGGACACGTTGAATGCCGGCGCCGGCCCCGTCCTGGTCGACTATCCCGACGACGCCGGCCCCATCGGACTGCCCCAGGCATCCGAGGTAACGGCCAACGGCAACGGCAGTAGCAACGACAATGGCAGCGGCGAACGCTCTACGCTGAGCGCCGCCGACGAGATAACCGCCCTACGCAGCTACTACGAGCGTTGGATCGGGCAACGAGGCCGCACCGCCGTCGGCCTCACCGGCGTATCCCAGCGACGGTTCCGCGGCATCATCCGCTTCCTGGAGGCCTACGCCGAGAGCGACGACGCCGATTTCGACGAACGCCCCGCAGACGTCACAGTCACCCAGTTCGTCCGCTACTGCGCCGACGACCTCAAGGCCTTCTGCTACGAAGCCCGCATGGCGCAGCGTCCCAACGACGCCGAGCCGGACATTCACCGCTGGTTCTGGGGCGAAACCGCCGTGGGCGCCCTCATCGACAGCATCACCCAACGCCTAACCGCCACCGGCGACGCCCGGCTGGCCGCCACGGCCTACGGACTGTCGCGCTGAACACCCCCATCCCTCGATGTAAGGCCTTTGTGTAACCTGTCATTGCGAAGAGCGTAGCGACGTGGCAATCTTGGCCTGGCATGATGACCGTCGCCCCGGTCCGGCCATGGATATTCCGGCCGGCGCCGGCACGATGGTGATGCAATGGTCTATTCGATGGGAGAGGGCTGGGGTCAAGGCTAACCCCCCGGGCCTTCTCCACCCGGCCCGTCCCCTCCGCCGCTTTCGGCCACCGGCGTGTCCACCGGCGTGTCCACCGCCACGTCGTGCTCGGTGATCACCGGCATCGCCGACTCCCTGGCGGCCACGGCTCCCGCCGGCATGGGCAACCCGTCCGGAGACGCCCATCCCTCGGGGAAGTGCAGCGTCCGCACCGGGTAGTTGATCGTGATGCCCTCGGCGTTCAGGCGGGCGTGGAGCTGCTTTACCAGCTCGCTGCGAACCTCGAAGCTGGCCAGCCGATCCCCCGCCTGCATGAATAGCCAGAAGTCGATGTTGCTTTCGCCAAAGGTGTCGTAACCGAAGTACGCCCCGTAGGACCGCACTGCGCCCGGATGCTCCGTCAGCACCCGGCGCATCACCTCCTGGCTCACCGTCTCCACCAGTTGCAGGTCGCTTTCGTAGGCCACTCCGCAGGTCAGGTACACGTTCACGTGGGCGTCGGGCTTGCTGTAATTGGTGATAATCGTCTCGGCAAACCGCGAGTTGGGAATGATGACCAGGTTGTTGGACCAGGTACGCAGCCGGGTGCTGCGCCAGTTGACGTCCACCACGTAGCCGCTGACGCCGCCCTCCATCTCGATGTAATCGCCCTGATTGACCACGCCTTCGGTGATGACGTAGGTGCCGGCGAAGAGGTTGCTGAGCGTCGGCTGAAGCGCCAGGGCCACGGCCAGGCCGCCGATGCCCAGGCCAGCGATGAGCGGGCTGATGTTGATTCCCAGAATGTCCAGCGACACCATGCCGGCCATGGCGAAAACGACTATCACCATACCCCGCCGCGCCAGGGGCAACGCCCAGTTGCTGGTGCCGGCTGCATCAGTGCTTTCCAAATGGCTCTGCAGCCAGCGCAGCGTCGCCGACCCGAGGGCGTTGATCAGGATTGCGCCGGTAATCACCGCAGTGAACCCGGCCGCTTTGTTCACTACGTCCTGCACGGACGGCGGCAGTGGTAACGGGACGGTTAGCGCCAGGTACAACCCCAGCAGGATGATGTACGCCGTGATCGGGCCGCGGGCCGCCGAAACCACCCGGTCATCCAGATCGCCCGACGTTACGTTGGACAACCGTATCAGCAATCTGAATATCACCTTGCTGAACAGCGCGGCTATCAACAACGCCACCGCCAGAATGACGAGGCTCACCACCACGTCAAACCACGTTATGTCGGCGGCGGCAAATGTGTCTGCCAGCGACCGGAACCAGTTGCTAATAGATTGTCCCATACGTTCCCGCGTTATCGGTTAGCGTGCGGAGCATATTCTACGCCGTTCACTTATTCGATGCGTTGCAACCGTCGCCGCACCGATTCGACAATTTTCGGCAATAGCTCGCCGGCCGGCCCGTTGATGGCAACGTTGGCCGCATGGGTCAACTGCGTTGGCCCAGGATTGACCTCGATGACCCGGGCCCCCAACTCCCTGGCCAGCAGGGGGAATTGCGCCGCCGGGTTCACGGTGCCGGAGGTTCCGACCAGCAGCACGGTATCGCAGCGCCGCACCTCGGCAAAGCAGGCGTCCAGCGTGGCACGCGGTATCGGCTCGCCGAACATCACGGTGTCCAGCTTGATGACGCCGCCGCACGCCCGGCATATTGGAGGCACGTCGCCAATGACGTAATCGGCGCGCGGCCACCGCCCTCCGCAGCCCACGCAACGCAGGTAGTTGCGGTTGCCGTGAATTTCCAGCAGCGCCCGGCTGCCCGCCTGCCCGTGCAGGTCGTCCACGTTTTGGGTAATTACCGCCTTCAGAACACCATGTCCTCCAGCTGCGCCAATGCCAGATGCCCCGGGTTGGGCGCCGCGTTGTCCACCGCATCTTTGAGGTCAAAGGTGGGATTGCCCGGCGTTACCTCGTCTTGCAGGCGTCGCTCCCACCAGCCCGCCGGGTCGGCCACGAACTCCCGATAGGACAGGTTGGTGGGTTGCCCGTATCTGGTCCACAGACCATCCGGCCCGCGGAAGGATGGGATGCCGCTTTCCACCGAAAGTCCGGCGCCGGTCAGGGCGATGGCATACCCGGATGCCGCCAGAACGTCGGCCGCGGCCTCGATGTTGTCCATAGTCGCCCTACCTCGTTGAGCCGGAAGTTGCCTCACCGCCAGCTTCGGCGGGCCACTTCGCCATTGCCAACGTGAAAGTAGGCCGCGCTGTCGCCAAAATGGGCCCGCACCGGCTCAATCTCGGTGGTCGTAATCAGCGCCTGCCGGTAATTGGCAACCTTTTGCAGCACCCGCTCTCGGCGCGGTGCGTCCATCTCGGAAAACACGTCATCCAGCAGGATGATGGGGTCATCGCGACGGGTTTGAGACAGATACTCGGCCTCCGCGAGTCGCATCGCCAGGGCGATGGTGCGAGCCTCGCCACGCGATGCGAAAGAGTTGGCGAACAGTCCGTTGGCCAGGATCATGATGTCGTCCCGGTGCGGCCCCACGGCAGTAACCGCAGTGGCCTGTTCCCGCGCCGCCGATTTTTTCAGCTCCTCGCGAAAGACCGCCGCAATGTCCGCCGCCGACCCCTCTGCCGCCACTCGCGGTTGATACACCAGCTGCAGCAGGTGTTGGGTATCGGCCAGTGTCTGATGCAGGCAATCGGCGGATTTGGCCAGATAATCCAGCGCGGCGGCCCGGCCCACTACCAGCGTCGAACCGGCCTGCACCAGCTGGTCGTCCCAGTACAGCATCTCCTCCGGTTCCACCTGGTTTTCCCGCTGCCGGCGCAGTAGGCCATTGCGGTTTCGCAGGGCCGCCTGGTAGCGTTGCAACGCCTTGAGATAGTAGCTGTCGGCCTGACTGATCAGGATGTCCAGGTAGCGACGTCGCTCCGACGGTGGGCCCAGTACCAAGTCAACATCGTCGGCAAAAAACAGGGTGGCCCCAATGTGGCCCAGCAAACTGGCCGCGGTTCCGGGCTGGCGGTTCATCCGAATCTGCTTGCGAACCGGCGGCATCGACTGACCGGTCGAATCGCAATCGGTGGCGTCTGCCAGCCGGCCACGACCATCACCGGCGGGGAGATAACCGACCACTGCGGAAATCTCGCGCCCTTCGCGGAAGGCCAACCCGGATACATAGGCTGCATCGCCACGGTTGGCAGCATCAAAGTTGACGACCTCCCGCTCGCTGTCGGCGCGGAAGGAACGCCCGATCGCCAGCGTGTAAGCGGCTTCCAGCAGGGCGGTTTTGCCCTGGGCGTTGCCGCCGGCGAATACCGATACTCCCAGCGGCAACTCAATCTCAACTTGCCGGAAATTCCGATAGTTGGTGAGGCCAAGCCGCGACAGGTAGGCCAACAGAACACCCCCAACGCGGGTTGGCGCGCGTTGTCCAGGCACCCACCCGATAATCAGCCGTTCTTCGCTGGCGTTCCCGGCCCGGCGCGCTACCTGACGCCAGGTTTAACGACTGGCATAGGTGTACTTGCCGGAAGTCGCCTGGGCCAAGATCTTGAGGGACACATGGTCGGCTTCTGCGCCGAACCCGATGGTATGGACCGTCAGGTCGTGCACCGGGCTGGTGGCCAGCATGGCTACCAGTGCATCGCGGCTGGTTTCGCTGTGCACCGTGTTGCCACTTGGCACTTCGATTCCGCCATCGGCGCCGTCGGTGAGCAGCACTATGACATTGCTGCGCGTGTCATCGTTAACCATTGCCAGCATATTGTGCGCTTCTTTGACGGCGTCATAGATGAACGCACCCTCGTCAACGGTGGCCAGAGTACCGGCGTTCGCCAGCCAGGCCCGCTGATTGTCCGAGTCTGTCAGCACTCCCAAAGGTACAACCGCATTGGTCGACTGAGTGAATGTTATCAATGCCGCCCGACTATTTTGCGCCGCCACGCCCGCAGACGGGTCTACATAGGGCAGCACTACATCCACCAGTGACTGCCTGACCACGTCCAGGTCGCCGCCAAGTTCGATGCTCTGGCTGGCGTCAACCAGGAAAATGGTGTTGGTATCGGGCTCGTGGAGGGAGGTAACCGCCTGCTGCAACGAAACCGCGTCAGCCGGCGGTGCGACGGAGGCCGGTGCGGGCGCGGACACGGCGCCCCCCTGGTTATTGTTCACCCACCAGAGCACGGCCCCAACAACGGCGACGATTATCCCGAGGGCGATCAGGATTGCGAGGATTCCCAGCGCCACGCGCCACGCAGAACGGCCAGGCTCGTCATACGAAATATAGACAATCATGTTGCCGGGCGCCTCAGGATCAAATCGGGATTAGTTGACCGGCGCGCAACCTTCGCAATAACCGTAGAAATCCACGCGCTGGGACGACACCTGGAACTGGGTATCGCGGCTTACGGAACGCTCCAGCTCGGCCACCTTATCCTGGCCTACGTCGGCGTCCACCACGGCGCCACATCCCAGGCACACTAGGTTGGCGTGGGGCGAAAGGTTGGCGTCGTAACGCGACTGTTTCTGGAAGGGCAGTTCCCGCACGATGCCGGCCTGTTGCAGGAGCGCCAGCGTGGAATAAACCGTCGCCAGAGTTACATACGGGAAGAAGTCCCGCACACGTTCAAATATCTCCCGCACCGTCGGATGGTCGGCGGAATTAACCACCACCTCGGCGATGGCCAAGCGTTGCGGGGTCAGCCGGATGCCCAACGGCTTCAGTCGGGCTACCAAATGTTCCTGGGTAGTCAAAATTCCTTCCAAAAGAAAGTATCCCTGCCGGATAGTATACCATCACGGCAGGGATTCCCTGACTCGTTCGGTTCGCCGCCGTTTGAAACGCTTCGAACCGGGAGCGTGCCGATGGGGGTGTTGACGCCTTACAGACGCCCGCCGCCTCCCGATACGCGCTCGTTGACTCCGAAGAACACGGCGTCCTGCTTGTGGAACACCTGGATCCGGGAACGGGCCGTCTCCACCACGAAGACCCTGCCTTCATCGTCGCATTCCACGGCGATGGGGCCCCAGAATTGCTTCTCGCGATCGATACCCTGGGCGATCTTGCGCTCTTCCCACATCTCGGGGTTCGCTTCCAGCTTGCCCATGCCCCACTGGGAAATGGTGCCCTCGCCGTAGGTCATGCCGGCGTAGGCTCCGTTGGGGTGGAAAATCTGCATCCGGTCGTTGTTCCAGTCGGCAACGTAAATCGTGCCTTCGGTATCCACCGCGACGTCGGTGGGGCGGTTGAACTGTCCAGGACCGTCGCCGGTTGCGCCGAAGGCCATCAGGAACCGTCCGTCGGCGGTGAACTTCTGGATGCGGTCGTTACGCCAGTCGGCAACGTAGACGTTGCCGGAGCCGTCGACGTCGATGCCGAAGGGCATATTGAACTGCCCGTCGCCCGTACCGAACTCGCCGAATTGGCCCAGGTACTCGCCGTCCTTGGTGAGTATCTGCACCCGATGGTTGTTGGAGTCCACCAGGTAGAGATTTCCGTTTGGTCCAAAGACCAAGCCGCTTGGGTCATCCCACTCGCCGTCGCCATTGCCGGGTCGCTCCCACTTGGACAGGTACTCGCCGTCCGGCGAATAGATGCTGATGCGATTCAGATTCTCGTCGGCCAGGTAGACGTTCTCGTCAGGGCCCACGGTAATGGCGGTAGGCCAGATGATGGCGCCGTCGGTGGCCACCGCTTCGCCGTCTCCCTGCTCGAACACGCCCTTGGCAAACTCGCTGATGAATTCTTCGTCAACGGTGCACATGGTGATGCGCTTGCCGTCGGGACGGTAATCGTAGGAGCGGTTGGCTACGTACATTATGTTGCCTTCGCCCCGGGCCATGGCCGTCGGGTTGCGGAAGCCGGGTCCTGAGAACTCGGCGCGCCCGATGGTATGGCTATACTGCAACGAGATTTCCAGGGTGGGTAATCCCGTCCGTTGGGGTCGTAGTAGTCATTGGTATTCCTCCGTTAGCACGGTGGCGATGCTGGGCGGGGCGACTATGCGCCGCCCCAGAATCCGGGCGACAACCCTCGCGGGCAACCGCCCGGCTGCTTTCGATTACACGAGGTTGAACTTTTCGAACGTCCCGTTCACCAACGGCTGGGCGTCCACACCCAGGTGCCCTTCCAGCAGGTCGGAATAGATGCTGCGGAAGTCGGTGTTGAAGCGCAGGTCGCCTTCCAGCAGCTTGCCTTCCTCCAGAGAAGGATATTCTCCGTAGAGGCCGCCCTTGACGGCATCGCCGACCACGAAGGCAACGCCGCCGCTGCCGTGGTCAGTGCCGGAGCCGTTGTCATGGACGCGCCGACCGAACTCGGTGAATACCAGCAGCACCACGTTGTCGCTGGCGTCGTGCTCCTTGAGGTCGTCGTAGAAGTCCGCCACGGCGTTGGAGGTGTCCGACCACAGCTTGGCGTGGGCGGCCAGCTCACCGGCGTGGGTGTCAAAGCTGTTGTAGGGCGCCGTGGTGTACAGAATCCGGGTGCCGAAGCCGGCCAGATGCACTTGGGCAATGTTCTTCATGTACTGCGCAACTACATCACCGCCGTACTCCACTGTCGAGGAATACGTCTCAGGAGCAGTGCTCAGGATATCGGCGCCCTTGAGGGCGTCCATGCCGGTCTGGGACAGGTAGTCCACCACCGAGCTACGGCCAATGGTGGGCGAATAAATCTTTGAGAAGACGTCCAGCGCGTCCACCCGCTGATCTTCGGCGTCGATGCCGGTGAGCACGCCATAGGTGGCCAGGTTGCCCACCGAGGCTACCGGAACGCCCGGAGCGGCCAGCGCCCGGGGGAGCCCGCGACCGAAGTTCACGCCAGTCAGGACGTTTTCCTTAGTGGGATCGAGCTCGCGGATGGCGCGGCCCAGCCAGCCTTCGGTGCCCTGCTTGTCGGGCTCGCAGGTATGCCAGATGTCCATGCTGCGGAAGTGGCTGCGGTTGGGGTTGGCATAGCCCACGCCCTGAATGATGGCCAGCTTGCCCTCATCGTAGAGCCGCTTCATGGGGCCCATGTTGGGATTCAGGCCGATGTATCCGTCGATGTCCAGGGCCTGCCCCTCGGGCACGCGCACGGAGGGACGGTTGTCATAGTACAACGGGTCGCCGTGGGGCACGACGGTATTCATCCCGTCGTTGCCACCGGAAAGCTGGAGTACCACCAGCACCGGGTCTTTCTTGGTTGCAGTCATCTCGTTTCTCCTTGTGACGAAAACGAAGCGGAAACGGCGTCGCCCGGGGTTACGGGCGACTGGGTGTTTCCCGTTAGGCGAACTGGTATTCCTGCGTGCTCACGATGAGCTGCAACGTCTGGGCAACCGTTTCCGAATACTCAGGCGTCCCGGGGGTTACGCCGCCGGCATTGCCGGCGTAGGCGACCAGCTGGTCGCGGGTCTCCGGCGCCAGCTCGTAGGCGCCCATCATCTCCAGGCAGCGATCCACGATGTTCTCCGCGCCTGCGATTTCTTCTTCGCTCAACCGGGCCACGATGTCGCGGACGCCCGGCAGGTTGGTGTTGCCCACCTGGTCGGCGGCGAAGTTGATGCGCTCTACCAGCGTGCCCGAGTCAATCCACTCGGCGCCGGTGTGCCAACCCTCCACCGTGGGAGGATTCATCAGGTCCTGGCCCATGTAGCGGATGGTATTGGACAACGGGTTCAGGCCCAGCCGCGGCGACGTGAAGTCCCGCACCAGGCGCATCGTACCAATCACCACTTCGGTGGGGCTCTTAACCTTCTCGAAGCGGGCGTTCTTGAAGAAGTCGGAGTTGAACAGCACGCGCAGCATGGCGGTCAGATTGAAACCGGAGTCGAAATAGGTTTGCTCCAGAAGGGCGATAGCTTCAGGATCCCGCGGCGGGGTGTTCTGCCAGGCCGGCACCTGCACCTCGTCGGCAACGAGGAAGTTGTACAGGTGGCGGGATACGAAGCGGGCCGCCGACGGCTGCCGGGCGATGATCTCAACGATGTCATCACCGTTGAAATTACCGGTCTCGCCCAGGAAGGTCTTTTCCTCTTCGTCGTGGTCGTAGGGATTGTAGATGAAGCCGGCTTCGTAGCGACCATAGGGATAGCGCGGAACGGCGTTGGTAATCGTCCAGCCGGTGAAGGCGCGGGCGGCTTCCTTAACGTCGTCCTCGGAGTAGTTGGCCTCACCGTCCATACCAACGCCCAACGAGAACAATTCCAGGAGCTCGCGGCCCCAATTCTCGTTGATGGCGCCCTTGTGGCTCATGCAATTGTCCAGGTAGAACACCATGGCCGGGTCGCGGGACAGACCCTTGAGCAGGTCGCCGAAGCTGCCCATGCCCATCTGGCGGAACATGTCCAACTGGAGCTGAATCTGGCGACCATGCTCGCACTTGGAGTTGCCGGTGCAGAGTATGCCGTGCCAGAACAGGGCAATTTTTCCTGCAAAGGCCGCTTCGTGTTAATCATCCGGTAGGTGAGATAAGCCTGGTTGACTTCCAGAGCGTTCATCTCTTTCCAGTCGACGAACTTGCGCTCCAGAATGTCCATCTCCAGATCGGGTTGGGCTTCCGGGTTGAGCAGGTCTTCAACGGTGGCCTCGTAGCCCTGGTTGGCCCGCTCTTCCAGCTCGGCGTAGGTTGCGCCAAAGCCGGCTCGACGCATCAGGTGCGCCCATCAGGGCAATATCCTGGTTGCTGGGCATAAGGTGTACCTCCTGTACAAAAGGTTGACGAAAACCGATCGAATAATAAGGGGCAATCGGCGTAAACCGTAACACCCTAAGCACTAGCCACGGATGCCTGCGACCACACCGTTCTGATGCCCGCATAGTACCCGCCAGCCCGAAGCAGTGTCAAGATGAAGGCGTGTGTGAACGGGGTTAAAAAGGCGGGGTGAAGCCGGTTTTGCCTTCGCCCAGCTCGGGGAGCATATGGCTTATGACACCGAATACCATTCGGTAATGCTCCATATATTCTTCCCTGAAGGATGCCCGGTCGCAACCCAGCTTCTCCGCCATCAGGTCAAAAGCCGCTTCGCGCGTGCCGGCGAGGAATTTGCCTCGCTGAAAGTGGAAAGGCTGGGCGATGAATTTCTCGACGCCAGTAGCCAGCAGGCTATCGGCGAAGGCGTAGGGGCTGCTGACCAACAGCAACGGCGTCATGGTGATGCAGGTATCGACCCCGGCGGCCTGTACTTTGCCAACGGCCTGCAGCCGCACCATGTTGGACGGGCAGAACGGTTCGAAGGTGCGGCGGATGTCCTCGTCGTCGGTGGTTACGGTCATGTTGACCTGGACCCGCCCGCCGTTGTCCTCAATGCGGCGGAGCAGGTCGCAGTCGCGGACCACGAGGGGACTGCGGGTCTGTATCACCAATTTCGGTTTGTGGCGTTCTGCCATGATCTCGAGGATGCCCCGAGTCAGTTGCAACTCTCGCTCTACTGGCTGGTAAGGGTCGGTAACGCTGCTCATGTAAATGAGCTTACCGTCGAGGGCGCCGGGCCGCCGTTTCTCCATGAGCTCAACGGCGTTTTCCTTGACGTTGACCCCAATAGCCCCAAGAATCTCGTTTCTCAACGTCCCGGCTGAAAAAGGCAGCGTAGCAGTAGGTACACCCGAAAGAGCAGCCGCTATACGGGTTCAGCGTAAAGTCGTAAGCCTCCATAATCCGGTGGCCCGGGTAAGAATCTCCCGGGCCGGGGCGTAACACACTGTAGTTTCGCCAATCTGGCACGGACGATCCATCGCCGTCGGGTCAACACGATCCGAAGCAAAAAGGCTGGGCTGGGTGGGCTTAACGGCCATGGCGCTCAAAGTTTCTCGAACTTGAAGAAAGCGACATCATCAACCCCCCAGCCGGTGGGAATATGAGTCAAACGTTGTTGCAACAAACCGTAATTCTGTTGGGAAAGGCTGGCCTTATATGGCTCGATGGAGCGATGGAATAGGTCGCGCCGGAATTCAGTGACTGGGTCGAGAACTCCTTGCAGTTTGATGGGCACGGTGCCCAAATCCATTTCTAGATACCCACTTGATACACGGTTATCAGTGAATGCGGATTTCGTTCGGTTCTTGCTAGTCCCGTCGTTGTGGCAAGAGAGCAATACTATCCCAGCTCCAGTTTTTTCGACCAGTTGACCTAAGAAACTGCCCAATGTGGGATCGTCCTTGTACACGGCGTGCAACGCACTGACAACCACCATCGCGTCTGGAGTAATGTCGATGTTCGAAAGCGACTTGTCAGGCCGGCTGCGGTCCACGGGCAAGGGTCGGCTTTCGATAACCCTACACACGGAGTCTAGCGCGTGTAATTTGTTGTGCCTGCGCTCACATACCTCGTGTGAGAATTGCTCCCAAACTCTTTGCCCGATTTCCATCATGGACTCACTTTCATCTAGGGCTAATCGACTATTGGACGAAACCCGGTTGTGGTGGTAGGGCAGAAACAGAGTACCAGGAGGTACAGTGAAACTCTGGCAGCAAATGTGGTGGAAGGGAAAGTATGTGAAGTTACCAGTTGAGCAGCACTCATGGCGGCAGGTGGAGAGTTTCCTGCCGGGGCGTCCCGGTTGGGTCGGCGTTACCGCCAAGGACAACCGGACTTCGTCACGGCGTCCGGTGGGTGCTGCGCAGCGGCGCCCAGTGGAAAGACCTGCCCTTGGGTATGGCAACTGGAAAAGCGTCCACAAGCGTTTCACCCGCTGGGCCAGGGCCGGAAATATGGGAGAGGATCTTCCAAGTGCTGCGGAGACCCGGACAACAGATACGTGATGATTGATTCCACCATAGTGCGGGTCCATCAGCAAGCATCCTGTGGCAAAGGGGGCCCAAAGTGAGGATCTGGGCCGCTCCCGCGGCGGGACTGAGCACCAAGGTTCATCTCCTTGTTGATGCCCAGGGGCGCCCGTGTGCGTTTCTCTCTCACCGGCGGTCAGCGGGCGGATGTTTCCCAAGCCATACCTCTGCTGACGGTTATCGAGACTGGGCCGTTCATCGCCGACAAGGGGTATGAAAGCAACCGGGTACGGCCTTCATCCGGGACCAGGGAGCGGAGGAACGCGGAAGCGGCTCATACCGCCCAAGTCAACACCGGAGGGACCCTGGGCATACGACGGGAGCTGTATATGGACGCGCAACCTGATGAAGCGGAGCCTTCACACAAATTGAGCAGTGCGCCGAATTGCCACCGGTATGATCGCCGGAGATGTATTTTCGTCGGCCTGACATGGTAGCCTCGTGTCATCTGGGGTAGCAATTGTCGATTAGCCTAGCTAATCGACAATTGGGCGAAACCCGGTGTGGTGGTAGGCAGAAACAGAGTACCACGAGGTACCGTGAAACTCTGGTCCAGCAAAATGTGGTGGAATGGGAGGTAGGTGATGAGTACCAGTGAGCAGCACTCAATCGGCGCAGGTGTGAGAGTTCCTGCCGGGGACGTCCCGGTGGGTCGGCGTTACCGCCCTAGGACAACCGAACCTTCGTCAACGGCGTTCCTGGGGGGCTGCGAGCGGCGCACAGTGGAAAGACCTACTGCCCTGGGTATGGCAACTGGATAAAAGCGTCAAAAAAAAGAGGAGGTTCATGGTTTGAAGGGCGGGATGGGGCGGGTTTTGTGATTGGGGAGGGCCGTTTTATGGTTGGGGTGCCGGGGGGTGGGGGGTACCGGACGAGGGGGGTGCGGTTTTGTGGGGCGGCTGAGGGGGGGTGGCGGGAATGTGGCTGAAGGGGGGGGGGGGGAGGCGGCGGGGAGGAGTGGGGGGGGGGGGGGGCGGAAAAGAGGGGGGGGGGGGGCGTGGGCTGGGGGCCGTCGGGGGCGGTGCGGGCGGGGGCGGGTGGAAGGTCGCGGGGGGCCGGGGGCGGGGGGTTGGGCGGGGGGGGGTGTGGCGGGTGTTGGGCGGGAGGGGGGGGGGGGGGGGGGGAGGGGGAGTGGATTGGGGTAGGGGGTTGTGGGGTGCATTGGGTGGGGGCGGTTGGGGGTGTTTTGTGGGGTGGTTTGTGTGTAATTTTGTGGGGGGGGTTTCGGAGGTGGGGTTTCACCCGCGGGGCCAGGGCCGGACCGGAATCTGGGAGAGGATCTTCAAGTGTTGCTGGACGACCCGGACAAGCTTACGTGATGATTGTTGATTCCACCATAGTGCGGGCCCATCAGCAGGCGGACCTGTGGCAAAGGGGGGCCAAAGTGAGGATCTGGGCCGCCCCGCGGGGACTGAGCACCAAGGTTCATATCCTTGTTGATGGCCCAGGGGTGGCCCGGTGGTTTCTCTATCAACGGCGGTCAGCGGGCGGATGTTCGCCCGGCCATTACCTCTGCGACCGGGTATCGAGGACTGGGGCCGCATCGCCGACAAGGGTTATGAAACGCAAACGGGTACTGGATTCACCGGGACAGGGGAGCGGAGAGCGGTCATACCGCCAAGTCAAACGGAGGGATAAAAAAAAAAAACTTGGGAATTTTTTGGTGGGAAAGCTTTTTGTTGGGGAAACCCTTTTTTTTTTTTTTGGAATACGACCGGGAACTGTATCGGGAGCGCAAACCTGATTGAGCGAGCCTTCAACAAAACTGAGCAGTGGCGCCGAATTGCCACGGTGGACGCAGGAGCTTTATTTCTGTCGGCCCTGCACTTGGTAGCCCTGTCATCTGGGGTTAGCAATTGTCGATTAGCCCTAGTGAGATCACCGCGATTTCAGGCAAAGGATATTTCGAAATAGGTACCCAACAAAGACGAATGTCCGCAAGGTGCAAAGCCAGACCCATTTGGCCAGCTAACGTACCGGCCCCCGAGTCTACGAGATTGAAGGCAGCAGGGCCCAAACCTTCGGCGAGCTTCAATTGGCACGTGGTATGAAAGATTCTATACGCCGAATGGATTCGCTCCGGTAAGTACCAAATTATGTAGACAAAAGCAACCCAATCGTCGTGATACGCCGCTTTCTGTCTTTGCCGGTGGCGTGAGTCCCTCAAAGATGAATGAAAGCGGGCACAAGTGGCGGCAGGCAATCTGCTCGGGAGCAAGACCATCAAAAAGCTCTTCACTCTTGGGCTTGGCCACATTTACGATTGCGTTGGAAATTGCGTCAGTTAATGTTTGTGGGTCGATGCGCTTGTTGAGGTTTGACATAGCATGATTTTAGCATATATGTTCCCATACAAGTTCATCGATTACCCCCGCCGCCGCTTGTGCTGCCTCAGGATGCAGTCGTCCATAATCACGCCCAGTCCGGCCGTGCGGGCGCGCTCGGCGGCTGCTTCGTCCACCACGCCGTCCTGCATCCAGATGTAGCGCGCCCCGATGCTCACCGCGTCGTCGGACACCGCGCCGGCGAACTCGCTGCGACGGAACACGTCCACCAGGTCGATGGCCGCACCTTTGGGCCTGCGCCGCTGCCGATGCTGACTCCAGGTCGTTGTACGACTGCTCGCCCAGCACGGTGGCGCCGTTCAACGCCGGGTTCACCGGAATGATGCGATACCCTTGGGACTGCATGTAGGCCGATACACCGTTGCTGTCCCGGGCCGGGTTGTCGGACAACCCCACCACCGCGATGGTTTTCACGTTATCGAGAATCTCGTCAATCAGGTCCATTTCTTGTTTTCCTCACGTCATTGCGAGCGAAGCGCGGCAATCTCGTCGGAGCAATCACGGTCGTCGGGGAGCAGGCCCCACCCCAGCGGGATTGCCACTTCGCTCCGCTCCTCGCAATGACAGACGCCGACACCTATCGGCTGGCGGTACTGTCGCTGGCCGTGATCGTGATGTGGCCCATGTAGCCGTTGGCGGTGGCGCCGTGCCAGTGGTTTTCACCCGCCTTGATCTGCACCACGTCGCCAACGCCGACCTCAATCTCCTGGGTTTCGTCGGCCACTGTTCCGTTGCCGGTGGTGATTACCAGGATTTGGTCGCTGCTGTGACGGTGCCAACCCGTCTGGGCGCCGGTTTGAAAGTTGACCACGCTGGCGTTGAAAAAGTCACTCTCTCCTTCAGGGATGATGGGTTGGCGGGTGCGGTGCACTTCGCCGCCCGTCCAACCGGGCACCGCCGCGGCGGGTCCCAGCGGCACATGCTCTACATTAGCGATACGGATTACGCGCATTTTCTTGCCTCCTGTTGATTCGTGTGCCCTCTCCCTTGATGGGAGAGGGATAGGGTTATGTTGAACGAAATTACCTCGCCGGGACCGGCAGGCCGGCAATCTTGACGGGCACGCTGCCCACGGTGTTGCGGCTGGTGAAGTACAGCGTCTTCCAGTCGGCGCCGCCGAAGCACAGGTTGGTGGTCGCCGGCTGGCCATGCCCCACGATGCCCAGCGTCTCGCCGCCGGCGTTCATGATGTGCAGACCGCCCGCGCCGCCGCAGTACACGTTTCCTTCGACGTCCACCTTCATCCCGTCCGGCACGCCCTCGCGCTCGCCGCGCATATCGGCGAACAGGCGCTGCGTCGCCAGGGACACGGTGCCGTCGTCCTGCACGTCGAAGGCCCGAATGATGCCCCGCCGTGAGTCGTTCACGTACAGAATGCTCTCGTCGGGCGAGAAGGCGAGGCCGTTGGGCACCACGAAGTCGGCCACCAGCAGCGTCAGCGTGCCCAGGTCGGCGGACAGACGAAAGACTCCAGAGATGGTCTGTTCCCATTGCTGACGGGTGCGTCGTAACGTCCACGGATCGGTGAAATAGATGCTGCCGTCGGACTTCACCACCACGTCGTTGGGGCGGTTCAGCTGGCGACCCTGAAACTGGTTGGCCAGCACGGTGGTCGACCCGTCGGCCTCAAGTCGGGTCACGCGGCGGCCGTCGTGCTCGGCAGCCACCAGGCGGCCCTGCTGGTCTCGGGTCAGACCGTTGTGACGGTTCACGCCGTCGGCGTCCACGGTAACGCCGCTGCCCGGCGTATAGCGCATCCGGCGGTCGTTGTGGATGTCGCTGAACAGCAGGTAGCCGCCGTCGCTCCACCACACCGGCCCTTCCGCGGGCCCTTCGCCACCACCATATCCGGAGCCATGCTCCTCAATGGGAGCGTCCATGTCGATGATGTTGTCCAGAGCCGGAGATAACTTTTCGATGGGCATGACACATTCTCCTTATGAATGCCGGGCATTGCTGCCACCGGTAGGGCGGGACCGTTGATATTGTGGGAACTATGCTTGCACCGTCATTGTAGGCGTGTGCAGCAAGGCGCGCAACGGCCCGCCGGCGCTCATGCGTACCCACTGTGCCATTGCGAGCGTCCTTCGACAGGCTCGGGACGAACGGGGAGCTCGATGAGGTTGAACACACGCCGGCGAACCGCCGTTGCTACGGCGACGAGATTGCCACGTCGCTATCCTCCTCCCGATGACAGATTTAAGTGGGTACGCGTAATCCTGACGGCGCGGTCAGCATCCTGCCAAAAGTTGCAGGCCCGTCTCTATGCCAACGTGGCACGTTTTGAGGTTCAATAGGCGCTGGTTCACTTAACCTTTTATAGAAAACCGACCAAATGATGCGCCGTTGGCTAAACCAGATCCACCAGGGCGACTGCCTGCAACTGATGTCGCAGATGCCGGCCGGCTCGGTGGACCTGGTGGTTACGTCCCCGCCGTACAACCTGCTGAACAGCAGCGGCAACGGAATGAAAAACGGCACCGGCGGCAAGTGGTCTCGCTCGGCTCTGATGCGTGGGTACGCCGACCACGGCGACTGTATGCCTCACGATGACTACGTGGCATGGCAACGGGAATGTCTGCGAGGGATGCTGCGGGCGCTCGCTCCCGAGGGCGCCATTTTCTACAACCACAAGTGGCGGGTGCAGCGCGGATTACTGCAAGACCGCTCCGACATCATGGACGGCTTCCCCGTGCGGCAAATAATCATCTGGCAACGCTCCGGCGGATTCAACCACAACCCCGGCTACTTCCTGCCCACCTACG